ATGATGATGATGATGATGATGATGATGATGATGGTGATGATGATGATGAAAATGATGAATTTTATGATGCAAGCTCCGATTTTAATGATGTACCGCTTCCATCTACTGCTACTATCACAGTTATTGATACTACCAATATCATATCATCTACGACCACATCACAAAACGGTAAAATTATTTCTTTCCATTATTTGTTCAAATATTTCTTCTCTCACCAAAAATATATCTACATGTGAATATATCCAATAATCTAAAAGTAAATATGGATGATATTGTAATGGTTAAAGAATGACAAAGGAATGCTTGGATTTTTGACGATGAAACGAATCATGAAATAAAATTTTTATCTTTCATTAATTATTATGATATCTTCTTTTTTTTCCAAAATTTCCTCTTCAGAAAAAGAAATTACAATGTTATCCACTGATATGCGTGTGAATGGTTATCTTCCAAAACTTTATATTATCACTTGGCTTCTTTTTTTCGTTAGCTATCAAGTTTTTTATTTTTATTTCTTTGGAAATGCTAATTTTTTGAACTTTCAGTTTGTATGCTTACCACAATGTCATACATTTAATTTCGAAGGAAAAAAATTGATATTTTTTTGAAAGGATTATGTTTGATTTATGTTATCAGCAAACAAGCAACTGGTATGTTGGATTTAGTGATTAGTCAAACGGACAAAATTGTCCGATTAATCAAGAAAAAAAAAAAAAACAAAATTACAGTTGAAAGTTAAAAATGAAAACTAGCTTACATGAAATGTATGATGTAAAAGTAGCATTTTCATTTTTTTTTTCTTGGCATGCTTATTTTCAAATTTTTGTTTAGTTTCCGAAATTTTCTTTAATTTTCAAAATTTTGCTTAATTTTTGTCTTTGTAATAAGTACGATGATTGATTTTCTTTGCTGTAAAAATTTTTGTTTCCTATTGAAACTCTAGTTTTTGCTCATTGCTTACATGCTTGTGCCTTTCTAGAAACTTGTGTGTGTTGCAAAGCATTTCTTTTCTTAAATTTATCAGAAAGTAAATTTGAAACTGCTATTAATCGATAATTGTATATATTATTATATAGCAATTAATGATTGTGTAATTAAATTTGATAAGATACCAGTTTTTTATTACGATCTTAGCAAATGCAAATTTCATTATATTTTCAACGTTTGCTAAATGAAATCTCGAAAAATGCTAAAGCTATCTAAACTGGAATTGACTAAAATTAGTAAAATCTTTAATCGATTGATTTTAAAATGAAAAATTACTGTTAAATCATAAAAATTCCTTCGTCCAATGACATAAAAAACACTTCCGAGCAGTACAAAGCTTCCATAAGTCGATAGATCGAAATCATTCTTGTAAAAAGCGGTGCTAATAAAGTAATATTGTCATTATTTTGCTACTGCTATTAGTGCTGATTGCTTTACTACCTCATTAGCTTCATCAGGCGTTAATGAATAATCCGTTTATCATTTTAATTTTAATTGCTTCTTTAAGCATTTTTCAGCATTTGGTCTTTGCCCGGCACTTATTCATTTCGATCCTAGCTTTTTTCACCTTTTTTTTCACAATTTTTGGATTTTAATTTAAGAAATGTTATACAGTTTACACTTCATTCATTCATTATGTTAACAAAAGATATCAAAAAAAAATTTCAAAAGAAGTTACATATATATGTATATATATATATATATATACACATGAAAATTTCAATAATCGTTTAGTTGTTAATTAATAGTAATTATATAAAGATTAAAAAACATGAGGAATGTTATTGATAATTTGACAATTTCTAAAAATTTCTCAATAATTATTATGCATATTATGTCATTCCATTTGTTATAACTCGATTAAAAAATGTCATTTCTACTTAATAGAAATAAATTTGATTTTTTTCATATGGGAGAGATAGAAGGAAAAAATTTATACTTAATTGATTATTCGCATGTTTAAACCTTCCTTTTTTTGAAAAAAAAATTTTGCTTTTTTAACACATTTTAACACATTTTCTTGTGCTAATTTGTGTATGCATAAATTTTGAAATTAATTTATTTATCATAAATTTTCGAAAAAGATTGGATTTTGTTAATTTATGTAAAATTTCAGATACACGTGATAAAGCAATTTTAAATGGAACATCACTTGCAGCAGTAAGGGAATGCATCGAATCATCTGCAGATGTAATTTTTATTTTTCATTTTAAAGATTTAAATTTGATAAGATATAGTTAAATTTTGAGAGTAATCAACGAAAGAATGAGTGTGTATTTGCTAAATTGTTATAAGTTTCGAGTTTTTCGAAATTAATTATTCTTGCAGTTTTTCAACTTTCATTGCTGGTATTGATGGCCAGTAATGTTTCATTGATTGAACTTTAGTTCAATACGAAATATGCGAATTAAAAATGAATTTTTATTTCAGTTTGTCCAATGTAACTTCTGTATTATTTAAATTATTCGCACTAATTGTCAAAAATCACTTATTGCGCTAAATAATATAACATTTATGATATGGTATTTTAAGAATATGATTCGAAAATAATTAAACCTGTATTATTGATATCATATATTTCAGTCCAGCGCAAATAGCGCCGGTTTACTGAGCTCAAATGGTTCAGGCTATGAAGCACGGCAATTTCGGCAAGTTAATACTGCACGTGTTCCGCCGATGATTGCGCAAAATGTGGTAGTATTTTTATCGAATTATTTCTGCTTTTTCATACAGTTTTTTGTAAATTTAATGGACTTTTCAAAGTTTTCTGTTTTCAAAATTTTATATATTTAACATATTACAGTATTAGAAAAGCAATAATAATGAAGTTAGCAGATCTTATCAACGTAAAGGATCATTTGTTATAGTTTTTCCTATCAATTTTTGGTCGTATTTCCTATTTGACTTTAATTATTGTATTTTGAATTTCATTTAATACTTCTGACTATCACAAAGATAAGGAAAAAACTTTTTACTTACCTATATATCCAGTTAGTATTCAAGTAAACAAATGTGGCAGAAAGTAATTCGGTGATTTGTCAAAAAGGATAGCGACGTATTCCTTACATTGACTATATGCTAAATTGATTAATCATAATTATTTATCATCTACTTGTATGGTACACAGTTAAATAGTAAAGGGTATATCCATTCTTTTCCATTAAAATTCTGATTAACTTTACGATTTTTTTTTTTTACAGATTTCACAACGATCATCATCACTGGATAAATCAAAATCACCATATGGATCAACGAAATCCCACTCACCATCTACACAACCGGATCTGAAAGATATTAAAAGTATTGTTGAACGGCAAGAAGCAGGTTCTTTTTTATAACGTTTACAAGTTTTTCTTTTCGAATAATTTATACTTGATTCCGGAAAGGTATCTTGAATGCACATTAGTTCAGATATTTTCTGGGTTTCTTATTCTTTTTATGCTTCATAAAATTGGAGTAGTTATGTACATCGCACACTTTTTACACACCTTTTGCACACGTTTTCGGTTTTATCCTGAACTTAAATTTTTCAGAATTGCGGGAAGAATTAAGCAGACGGAAATCCAGTGTTATGAGTGAGATTTCAAGCAAAACGCTTTCTTCAAGTGCTCGTTAGTTTCTGATTTTAATAATCTTTTGCTACAAATTACTTTACATTAGCCTCACGGCAAGCTACTTAATATTATACTGAAAATGAAACGATAAAATTGAGATTTTTTCTTTATTTGAATAATTTTCAACTATACCTTCATTGTTACAATTTTTCGCTTCTACTTTCCGAATCAATTCAATTTTTCTAGCTACAATTGCTACTTTACATTAGATTTTCAGGTAAATCTCAGGTGCGATCTACAAGGAGAGGAACAACGCCATTAGCATCATCAAAATCTATTGAATTCAATGCAAATGGCGCAAAACTATCAGCTGTTGCTATGCCATCTCCTGTTTTTCATCCTTCTGTAAGTCATATCTCATTTCATAATACCTTAATAAGTAATGAATGTTGTTCACTAATAATAAAGAAGGAATATAAATCATATATGAAGATTTATGGTAACTTCAGGATATAATGCTGTGAACTTTATGATAATGAAAGATTGGATAGCAGTGTGTAAATCTCATTATTCGTAGTTAAATACTGAGAGTTACTCGCTAATTTTGTTAATTGTAGGACAACTGCCAGCGGTTCTATAGCAGTAATAATTTTTACGTACTACTGATAACTCAAAACTTGCTTTTGATTTTTTTGATTTCAGCGACTACCGACTCCAGTTCGAAAGAGTGTTGGACGCAGTTTGATTCCGACACCACGTGCTTCTGCGCTTACTAGATCGTGCGTTCTCAAATAGCATTCAAATTCTTTGTCACAATATTTTACTCCAATTTTAGGAACAGAGAAATGCATAAATTTGTTTTTGTTGAAGATTTTTGCTTATTCATAAGCAAATCGGAGTGAAGAAGCATTTGTAGCTAGCAGTTGACTTACATTTTTTTTTAGGTCACTGATCTAAAATGCATTTGTTAAGTTAACCTGATGTAAAAAGCTTCCATTAAATTGGAGTATTTCATTCATATTTATGAAACCAAAGGATTTTCGTTAAGCTGAACTTAAAAATTTTATCTAAGCTAGACATACGTGAAGATTTTAAGCCAGATTGGAAATTTTCTACAAATTAAATTGGCACTGGAAGTTTTATTAAATCAAATTGACTAAGATCTGAAGCAGTTTTTTCAGAGCTATTCGTGGTCTAGCTGGTGGTAGTACGCCATCATTAGTATTATCCTCGCAGCATATATACGATGATACACGTTCCGAATGTGGTATGTCACATAACGAACAACGATGGACTGACGAGTGTTTCTAAATTATGCAACGAAATTGAAGCTGAATACGATTATTCTAATATTTTTCCACTGAAAATTATTTTTTTTCTTGCATAAGATTTTGCTTTCAAGTGACAAACGTCAATATTATCATTATTTGCACAACTTTACGTGAAAGCACGAAGCGTAACTGTGGAGAAGATAATTATTTTGCTACATTTGTCGATGATGTCAAGCTTATTTGTAACGGTGGAAATACATAGAGTATAATAGCTTTTCCCGAACACAAATTTTTGCATTGGTTACTGAAATTTGATTATAATTCCTATTTTTTACTGCATCTAACTAAATTTAAACTCATTAAAGTTGAGGCAAGAAATGATATAATCTTTACTGGTCAAAGTTGGACTATATTTAGCATTTGAAACTTTATATATTATAGTTTTTCATTCTTTATTACCATGAAACGATGGCTTATGCATCGATATTTAAATACTGTTTTGATTTCTAAATTTAATTTTTAACTTCAATTTATGATATGTTTCCTTATCGTGGAATATTTTATAAATTGTGGTATGATAGTTCTAGTTCCTGCCTGATCCGCCTACTTGTTCAATTTCATGGTATTACTCGATAATCTTTTCTGGCATTGGATGGTCCTTTTTCTTTTCACTTCCAAGAAAAACTACTAAATTTTGCCACAGCAGTGATTTTATTCCTTTCTTTACTTTTTTTGTGTAGTTATATATATATATATATATTTGTATATTGTTATTTATATTTTACATCCTGTTGTATTTTTCTTATTCTGAAGCTTATATAATTTGGACTTTATCAAAAGTTTTTCCTCCTTTTTTTTATATTATTGTTATGTTAAAATTTAGATATCAGATTAGTAACAATCTAGTCGTAGGAGATATTTTTGTCTTCCATTTTTTTTTCGAGACCTTTTCTTTTGCCTTTTTTTCTTTCCCATCATTTTTTATTTATTATTTAATTAGCAGATTGCTATTGCTTGAATGCCCAAATAATTTATTGTATTTTGTAAATTTCTTTGTAACAAATGTTTGATTGAAATTACAAAATGATTTGATTTTCCATCGACAAATACATTTTTTCTAAGTTTTTTTT